GCAGGAATGGGTACGGATCAATGTGTTTCTTCAAAAATTGAGGCATTTCATTCTTTTTGTAGGGTCCCATTATTGGATGAGATAGAGATAATTCATCAGATAAAGCTTCGAGTACACTCTTCAATTGCGCTCCCGCAAAACCTTCTTCTAAAGATTGAGGTTCAACCTCAGCAACGGTTGGGTCGTCATCAACCTCGACAGCAGCCTCAAGACAATATCGAGCAATTCTCTGGCTCCCAAGCATGGCTCCAATACGAGCTGCTCGTCTCCATAGCTCGGTATCCGATTCATCACTGGCTAGGGCACGTCCGAAATCATCCATTGAAACTTTGGCTTGTAGATCTAGTGTTACGGCATCATCCATCATGCCATTCGAGTTTCGCAGGCGAGCCTTAATGCAGTCCAAAATGAACTGTCCATGATTTTTGTATGCGAGGTAGAGAATTTGAGGTAATGTGCTGGATGTGCCATCTGCGACAGCTTGACCAATATCGAGTTCAATAGGTATGGCAGAGTCGGCATACTCAAGTTCGGGATGCTCTTCGAGCCTCGTAAATTCAGTGACAGCTTCGGGGTAGCTGAAGATTTCGGATTGAAACAAGTTCTTGTAGGCTTCGGCAGCTTCTCGATAGAAAGGAAGACCTTGGGCATGCAGCTTAAGCGCAGCTGTGTAGAGCTTAAGAGCATCTTCTATTTGAATCTCTCTTGTGTTATCAATCTCATCATAGCTTTGATCGTCTGGTTCGATATTTAATGCAGTAAATGTCGCCATCTTGGCGGAAGAAAGGCGACGGTGTGCTGCTTATTAAAGGTTAAAAAGCAATGAGGTCTCGATATTTATTGTATACGCGACGCCATATTGCGCCGTGTACAAGTATCACGGATTGCACGTAGCAATTCGGGCCAAACGATTAGATAGAATGCAGTATTTCCCGTTTCGCGCTTTTGTCCAGCTATTCGACACAATGCGACAGAAGTTGTTATTATGCGTTTGTCGAATTTCAATTTGAACGAGACAGAGAGCTTTCGGTTTCTAAGTTCGTGTTCGTACGATAGGTGTTGATATCTATTTTAGCTATCGTATTGAAGCAACGCGGAAATCACAGTGAACATTGATTGAATGGGTGAATATTGTCCCCAAGTCGATCAAGTTCACTAATAAGTTCAAGGTTCCGCAATAACCTTTTTCCGAGAGGTCGGACACGGACACCCCCGGGCCCCTGTAATCGATGATAGACGGTTATCTCATTAATACCTAGGTAGCTATCCTCGCCGTCGTAGGAAACATGACCGGTACATTTGATCATGTATGTTACCTATCAGTCTTCTGTCAATTGTTCAAATTGAAGATTGACATTCAAGATGTACAAGTCTATCGTTGATAATTCCAATTCAAAAATTACTCATAGAGTAACGCGAATTAGATTCCCATTGTCTGTTCTACTCCTTATCGTTGTCGTTCTTGGTTTGCAGCTCATCATTCTCCCCCGATACATATATCAAGTATCTCCAGCAGCTACAAAGCTTTCAGATCATTACATATCTCAGCTTAAACTAGGATACTCTAAATGTCTAGATCTACATACATTGCCGAAAGAATACTCTCATTCGGAGATCGTGTCACGAAAGAATCCTCGCTGGAACTCTATTCGTGGTCAGAATCAGACCACTGTCTTGAAAAATGCCACTCTATTCGATGGAAATGCTCTTCTTAGTGAATTCGTGGATATAACGTTCGAGAATGGCCTCATCAAGTCTGTATCAACAGCTACTAGAGCTATCAATTATGGTCCCAATGTTCAAATTGTCGACCTCGAAGGCAAATATGTTACCCCAGGTCTGGTCGACATGCATTCACATCATTTCTTGCACGCTTGGCCTGAACTCTCTGTTACAGGCGATGAGAATGAGGTTCATATGGGTCCTCTTACCCCATTTGTTCGTGCAATTGATTCTATCAAGACGGATGACAAGGCAACTGCTATAATCGCTTCAGGCGGTGTCACAACTTCCCTTCTCATCCCTGGCTCGGCAAATATTATAGGTGGTGAAGGAATTCTTGTCAAAAACTTTGTTCCTGGTAGTGAAACTGGCGAAGAAGTAGTTGAGGAAGTCTTATTTGAACATGGCGTACCCATTGAGGAGAGGAGGCGATACATGAAGATGGCATGCGGCGAGAATCCTACCAATGTCTATGATCATACCCGAATGGGTAATGCTTGGTTATTTCGAGAGCAGATGACACGAGGAAAGGAGCTGATTGAAAAGCAAGACTCTTGGTGCTTATCAGCCGCTGCGGCGTTAGAAAGTAGAGATCCTGCCACCATTTCATCCTTCATGAAGAATGGTGGTTTGCCGGAAGAACTAGAATTAGAATCCACGGCAGCATTATTACGGGGTAAAGTTGGAGTCAACATACATTGTTATGAACCTGAGGATCTTGAAGACATGATTCATCATAGCAAGGAGTTTGGATTTCGAATCCAAGCATTTCATCACGCTCTTTCAGCCTGGAAAGTGCCCGAGTTGATCAAGAGTAGCGGAGAGTAAGTTGTGAAAGTATAATTGCAGTTTCTACATTCTCATAGTGCAATAGGAATATTACCATTGCGACCTTTTCCGAATTCGGATTTTATAAAAAGGAAGCCTACGATGCCAACTTATGGGGTGGGAGTATTCTAGCTGAGAATGGGGTTCCTGTTGCATACAAATCCGTCAGATGCCCTTCTCTCATGGTATATACCAAAGCTAACATTTCAAAGGATCACGTTCTTGAGATAACCAATGCACAATACTTAATGTATGTCTGCTTGAATCTCGTTAATATAAAACCATTATTGATACATAGATATTCAGGTTCCAAGCCGCGACTGCACATTCTTTCAATCTTTCCGAAGCTCTTGCTTTGCAATCTGTAACTAGTGTGCCTGCAAAGTCGCTAGGAATTGACTACCGGGTTGGATATACACGTCCTGGTTATGATGCAGATCTTGTAGTGTGGGATTCCCATCCGCTTCTCGCTGGATCTACACCTTTACAAGTTTACATTGATGGGAAAGCTACTCTGGACCCTGTCAAAGTCGCGGAAAATACAGCTGAACATTCTATCGAACACACGTTAATAAAACCAAGATCGCGAACTACTCAGACATCGAAACAGAGTCTATGTAGCAAAATAGACAACTCGGATCAAATTATTGCTGTTACTGGAATTAAGCAAAGCTATTTGACCCTAAAGCAGGATATCTCATCAGACACGAGTAACTTCACGATGATTTTGAATGGTGGCAAAGTTGTCTGTCTAGGTTTGGAGCAAGAATGTGCTACTTTACTCGGTGAAGGGACGACCATTATTGAGCTGGAGGAAGGTGTTGTAATGCCAGGGCTCACTGGGTACTCACCTAGTCTAGGCTTGGCAGAAATTCTCGGAGCCTCTGAAACCTCGGATGGCTCTCTTGACAAAAGTCTGGCTTTATTGGAGCCAGATAATATTATCCACGCCAAGTACGGGGTCCATCTGGATGGACGTGGATTTTCTAGGGCAAGACTTGGTGGTGTTACCCAAGTAATCACTACACCAATTTCTGAGACATTCTTTGGTGGTGTGAGCACGGGTATCAAAACTAATGGTAAACACAACATTCTCGATGGTGGCATCTTCCACGACGATGTTGCTTTGCACTTTTCAATTGGTCAGATGGTCAAACGTAAGTCTGGTTTCCACAACACAAATTCAGAACACTATTAAGCCATACATACAGATTTCGAGTCTATACCCACAGTATCCTCTGCTATAGCAAAACTGCAACATATTTTGGTCAAGAACATTGGCAAGGATAACGTGTATGGCACTGTTGCAAATGGATCATTTCCATTGGTGGTACATGTGGATAATGAAGTTAGCTTATCTCTTCTCATTTTATATTTTGAAACTGACACCTAGAATCACAGTACGATATTCTTCAACTCATAAAACTAAAGAACAACCATCCATTACCCCTCAATCTAGTTCTTCTAGGCGGAGCGGGCGCTCATCTTGTAGCTGAAGAAATCGCAAAATCCAAAACACCACTCATCCTAACCCGAAATCGCGGTGCACCGGATTTATACGAGAAGCGCAACGCACTTTCTGGTCCCCCGCTAACACGTTCTCCTGCTGCAGTTCTTACGGACGCAGGTGTGTTTTTTGCATTGGCAATTGAAGGCGAAGGCAGTAGGTTTCCTGACTCTATTCCACATCATTGATCAACCTCAGATGATCTAACTAAACTTACAGGCGAATCACATATCCACAACCTCGCGATTGAAGCGGGTTGGGCAGCTAAATACTCCAGCCTCACAAAACGCGAAGCTGTGGACTTGGTTTCTCGTAATATTGAGAAAATTCTAGATCTAAAAGTTGCAGAAGAAACTAGAGATTTCGTGATTTGGGAGGGAGATCCATTACAATTGGGGGCAGGTGTTGTATTTAGTATAGAAGGCGGAGAGTTGGGAACATGCTTGCCCTTGTCGAACTGATGCCTGATGTTTTGCGCCGACGATTCGACCAGCACGACCGTTAATTAGATAAAGAACATTCTCATTGTCGAATAGCATACTCAGAATTTCACAATGAATGTAAAAACATATGCGGGAACCAATTTGCGGCCGTCATTTGACTCGATAGCCCCGAGCATGTCGTATCTTTTGGTTTCAAAAATGTTGTCTGACTAGTTTTTCTTGATTTGGTAGTAAAACCTCTCATTTTTCAGCTGGAATGTTCCCTTCACTCGTAACCTATCGACGGTTCCTTCCTGCCACTGCAGTTGCCTAAACCTAGTACTGCTTTTAAAAGTCCCGAGAAATATTAAGCGCCGACCCATACTGTTGGAATTTTCGGACGTCAGATAAAAAATGTACCTATAAATAAAACTACTTAACCCGTAGTTAAGGAAATGGAATATGTATTAAATGCATTTGGATAATCACATATCACACCATCTTATCAAATTCAAGGAATCATGACTGCTTTCCTCAAGAAGAAGGATAAAAAACCAGCTACGTCCAGTGCGCCGCCCAGCACCACTAGCTCGGTTAACTTATCTACACAAAATGTGACGACGAACGCTTCATCCAGCACCCAGGTTGCAAGTACAGCTTCCCTTAAAAGTAAGTCGGGTTGTGGAGGCAATAAACATGGCAATCACAATCACAACCGTCTTGACGTAGATTCCGGCAATAAGAGTCATCCCGAGAGAGATAGCAATCATGGGCCTAACACCTCATCGTCTCAAACTTCAGTAGTAGATACAAAACCAGAACTCAAACGCTCATCTGGAAGTATTCTATCGATTATCTCCTCACGTACAAAGATTGACCGTGAAGAAAAGAGGAAGGATAAGAAACTCGAAGAAGAACACGAAGATTTAAAGAGGCACTATCACTCGGACATGACCTACGCGAAAGCAGGCATTGCGGTAAATAATGCGGAAACAAGCTATGAAAGCGCTAAGAAAGAACTTCAGGATCTGTATGATATAGGCGCGACTAAAGAAAAGATCAGAGCGCAAGAAAAAAAAGTGCGATCGGAGTGGGAAAATCGGAGGAAAGCGGATGAAGAACTTGATGCAATCCGCGATGATGACAAAAGAACAGCGGAGAAACAACGAGAGAAAGTGAGCAGAATGAGCGAGGACAATCCTTACAGGATCAAGGCAGAAAAGAAGGCTCGAAAGAAAGAACAGGAAAGTCAAAAGTGGGTAGACAAACAAGAGAAGAAAGAGAAGAAGGCTAAGGAAGCTGCAATTAAAGCGAAGGAGGCTAAAGGGCTGGAGGAGCAGGGAAAGAGTTGCAAGTGAGGAGAAGAAGAACAAAGAAACCGAAAGGATCATAGCTGAGTGGACAACCTACAAGAGAAAGCTGCGAGAAAAGAAGCTGAGCAGACAAAGTACACTAAATATGAATATGAATTGGTTAAAGTAAACAAATGTAAAGAGAAAAGAGAAAAGAGAAAAGAGGGAAAGCTATCAATACTTCTCAATCCTGAATGAGGGGATGTTCGCTCTTCAGCGCAGATAAAGACAAAGCTAGTGACAGGTTGCCGAAATATAGCTATTAAAGAAGTAAATGTGTTGATTATTCTACCTCTCAAAGCAATTATAGTATACTATACATATTTGTGTCAAGTTGAACTTTTGCTCTTATCAACTTTTGGATATCAGACCCATCTTAACCTGCTAAGTTCTAGAACATAAAACCTCCATTTCCTGCTCTCACTCCTAGCCACACGTATGACACGCGAAACTTGTATTTTCGAGCTCGACGCCATAGGCTTCTTATCCTTCGGTGCCGCTACTTCTAAAAGCCGCGCAAAGTGCTGCATAGTGGTGTGTCAAGTCCAAGACGTTTTGCGGTAAGCTTGTTGCTTGAATAATACTCCTAACCTTCACAGCACCTTCATCTTCTATCAGTGTGCGTATTGTGTACAGCAATTCTGGTGAGAATTCCGAGTACCATCTGTATTGCCAAGTGACCAGTCTAATAACACTGGCAACTGTATCTCGGGTATTCTTGCTCTTCTCCAATTCGGCAAGGATTCCCGCCAATGCTTTGGGAGAGAAGCGTATTTGAAGACAGTTGCGATAAGCTTCAACAGCTTCCGGCTGGTGATGAAGTCTGTCAGCTAACGAACCGAGAATTTCCCATTCCTCGGCCGATTTCTTATACTGCATCTGTTGTGCACGATACTGAGCCATTTCAGTTCTCCATATAGTATAGATACGAAGGTCTTCATAGAGAACCATAAATAGACTATCGAGCCAACGCTCGCAAAGTCTCTTATTATTGAATCGGGAAAGTTGTTCTTCGGTAATCTCACTCTGCTCGATGTTAGCGGATTCATGGGGAAACTTTGAGGGTCACTCACATCTTCGTTACCACTTTTGACTTCTTCTGCTGCAACAGTATGTGAAGGCTTCTCTACAGAATCATCGGCTCCGCTACCATCCTCAGCGTTCGGTTTAGGGGCTGCTGAATCGCCATTCGTACTTATTTCGTCGTCGGAATGGTCATCGCCATTTTCACGAGGACCTGGACTTCCTCTCAGTACGTCGGTGCTTGCACTACGCTTAGTTGAATCACCTTGTTGACCAACTGGTGGTTGTTTTTCACTTCTATACTCCTCTTCCATGACAAATACATTACTCCTAATCTTGAGAAGTTGATCCCAGCCAATTTTTGCTGTCATTTCTGTTAAGATACTATAAGCGTGCTTGAAAGTACCTTTGTACATAGCGGCACGTAGGTTTAGAAGGCTTTGGTGAACTTGTTCTGATAACCTTGACTCTGGCTCACTATCGATCTCATCTAACCTAGTCTCAGGAAGGGTTGGAAGGTGGATTTCCTTAGGCTCTGGCATGTTAGGTGCATCCTTGTCTTGATATGTAAACATAGGGCATGAATTTAGAGTCGTGAGAGCATTCTCCCAATCCTCCATGGCAACATAAACTTCAGCTAAGCGTGCCCATGTTCCGAATTCGCTCGGCGCAGCAATGGTACTTCGATCTGCACAACCAAGGGCCATCTGCAATCTTTCAGTTTTGAATTCTGGCTTGTTGGGGTCCATTGCCTTCTTTTTCAAAAATTCGGCTTGAGTATCAAGCATAACATAATCCATTGGCGACTGCTTCACAGATTCATGTAATACTCTGACGGCTTGTACCTCCTCATTGCCCATAAACAGGACCTTGGCTAATAGAGAGGAAACTTCAATATTTCGGGTTCGGAGCTTTTCGAATAGATTAATTCCAGAGGCGTATCGCCCAGTGGTTTGGAAGTATTTTAGAAGACCTGTTGTTAGATGATTCGAGACATTATTTGGTACCTGAACGATCGAATCGGATCCAAGTTGCCAGCCTACAGAAGTTAGTCCTGGGTTTTGCCTTCACATCAAATGGCATACCTCTAAAGAACAACTGTTCGGCAGCCTGGAGGAATCTATGTTCTGTCTCCGTCGTTGTCACTGGGTTGAATCTCCTAACTCCAATTATCTTTCGAATGGTGTCTCCACTTCCATCATCCGCATATGAATATGCCCGAAGAACACTACACAAGTATGTTTCCAGCCATAACTCATCGGTCGTTGTCCTCTTATCGCCTCGCTCATCGATACAATAACTTTCAACGCTTCCTGGAATTGTGACATGGACGCGCATATCCAATCGAGAAAAGGCATTGTAACAACTAATAGACATTAGTAACGCTCCGCATTGACAGACTTCTAAACCGACCAATATACGCCCTCTACTATCTTTGTCGTAGACTGATGCGTTTCTTTGTAAGTAAGGGTATTGATATATGCCGCTAAACTTGCAGATGATGATGCATCGACACCGGTGACATGATGATATACACCAATCTGCTTTCCTGGATTTCTCGGGGCTTGCTTGATCAATTGAACTAGGTCTGGGGGGCCCAATTCTCTTAGAGCCGCTAGAACTTCAGACCGCGCTTCGATGGATTCGTGAACGATCTCTTCGGTGATCTCAGGAACAGCTGGCGCAACCATCTTATCCTCTCACAGGGCGAACCTGTCTTGTTGGTGTTGGTAAAAATCGCTGTGCGAAATGGAATGATTTGTGATTTTCAGAAAACTCAATTCTATAATATGCCTTGAAACTACTAGAGACTTGAACAATGATAGTGGGGGTTTCTTGCGGTCGACAACTTTGTGGTTGGTATACAAATGTAAACACCTCATCGGCAGGGAGCTCAAGCCACACTTCAGCCTCGCCAATTCATCGGCATCAGGCTGTGCTTAATCAGCACTATGATAGAGAATGCCTCGCGATTGGAAGGAGAGCCGACCACCAGGCGTAAAAGGCTGTTCCATTGCAAAATTTGCTTTGGATACTAAGAACATCTAATTTTTAACTCTAAATTGGGGCAATGGACAGAGACACTTACCTACTCTAGTCTTGCAAAGTTGCATCTATTCTATTGTTTATCAAGGGCTCGAAAGCCTAGCATTATATCTAGAAGTCCAGTGGTGCAGATGTCTACACGCCCTTCATTACTACTTCACGGAATAACTATCTGAGTTCTAGTCTGCTTCTTTGTTTTATCTCATTACTTGCTCGCAATGCTTCAAGTTAAATGCGTAAAGATAGTCAGTCCATGAGTTGGCTCCAATGTTTCACAATTCATGTCCTTAAGTTGCAGCCATATTGGGTTGTTGTCATGATTTCTTTTTTAATGTGTTATTTTCTTGACATAGATGTTTTGATAATTCCCGAATTGTATTCCAAATTTATGATGCTTTCAATTTTTCTTCGAGGTTTTTGAACCACTTCAAATGGAAAATTCATGTGGGCCGGATCATGTCCCCTTACGTATTGGTATCCCCAGAACCTTTTCCTGTGCCTTACTCAAAGTTAGTGCATATCTGTTTCTCCTTCAATATCTTCCCACCACCTTGAAATGGGACCGTTACCTTTCATTGTAGGCCATGCGCCCTGTCTAGGAAACTCTTGTAAATCAAAATTCCTTTCCCAATCTTGATCCTGGTTTAAGCCTCTCACTAAATCCATCCATTTCGTACCACAAATGCTACTCCTTCACTCCTGTAACCGACGATATTGCTTTGATATTCTGTCCCACAAAATTTGCAAATGCATTGCCCGAGACCCATACCCAAGGACCATAGCGTTGACCAGCGCCTAAATCCACATAAAGGTTCCATGTGCCCGCATATAAAAATGGGATCCAACAACCATTGCTCGCCTTGAATAACCTCGAGCAAGGAACTTGAACATCGCGGTACGACAGAAGGAATCTGGAGGGTTATGAGGAAGGTTATGGGAAATCAAGCACACGTGCTGAGAACGGTAAATGATCCGGGCCTGTGAGTTCATGCGAAATTCATGAGTGATGCAAGGGTCATTTAGTTGATGACAATGGTACTTAATCAACTGATCTCCTGTTCTGCCTATCGAATGTAGCTGAAGTTGTGAAGATCCGTATTTACCTTCGTGATATAACTTCGCAGCCATTTGTATTTCACTAAAACGGAATTGCTCGTGAATGATTGACTCCACTCCGAATTTTTTATGATGCTCCCAACATTTTCTGGCCATCGTCGAAGCAGATGGTTCATGCAGCTTTAGACATGTGTGACACGAGATGTATTGCTCGTAGTCCCTGCACAGGAGATCAAGTAGATCAGTAGTTTCCTTCAGAGAAGTCTTGACGACGTCAAGGATTATAGTCCAGTGTCCTGGACCGAGGGAAGTCTTCAATTTGAGAGAAGTAAGAGTGAATGCTACAACAGAAGATTTTGGAAGTTATGCAAAAATATCGTCTAAGATTTCATTGGGGAGGGTAAAAATTACAGCATCCTTCGGGGCACAGGCAGCACTCTTTCGTATTGGAGTTCCGGGTATTTCTTCCCGAGGTGTAAGGTTCTTGGTGGTAATTGGCTTTTCCTCTACAGAGTTTGGAATCCCCATTTGCATTGGTGTGACATACGCATCGCTAATTATGCAAATATTTCTTCGATTGTCGATATTATAGGTAGTATTTTCCCCCTCTTTACGCGCCGCTATACCAGGTTTTCCGTCTACAGAGTACGTCGAATCTTCTCGTATTATATTGTCATATATATATTTGATTTCCCAAACTTCACTACCAATTGCAACGAGGTAATAAGTATTCACCAGAGGTTCGTGGTTGAGTATGGGGATGCTAGGTTTGCTGTTCCACCATCGAGAACTCGTTGCTTCTATCGTGGTGGTATCATCCACGCTCTTGAAGTTCCAACCAATATGATCAACATCAATAGAGTAGTTAGTATTTGCGCAATATATGAGTGTGATGGTAGAAGGTAGATTTATTGTTCCGTAATAATACGGTTCTTCAGACATGATGTAACTTCCATCATGGAAGAATATCGTCGCCAAAAGATGTGTCATTAGTTGTGATTATAGTTTGAAGGTCGTCTCAACAAGTAAAAAATTAAACTAGATGAAGTTGAATTAAGCAACATATATGTGTTCTCTGTATCATGCGATCATTCTTGAATTAGAATTAAGTCTATGAGGTAAAGAAGTAACTAGGAAATCGAGTAGACTAGTGCAGTACACTAAATATCTATTTTTGACCAAAATTTGAAGTGTGATCGCTGATTATCACTCAAGCTCCTAACAATCCAAGTCTAGTACCGGTGTAAGTGCAAACTTACAATTGCGATATCACTTGTCATATTTATACGCTCTTCTCTTCTCTAGGCATTCATACCACTTCGCAAACACACATTTTCAAGTAGGAACTATGTGAAAAAAGCTTCAATCCATGTTATCACCATACCCATACACATATTTAGTTCTTTATTTTTCAATATCTCATCCACCGTTTTAGAAGAATAAGTCTTGAAAAGGATACTTTTCTTCTCCTAATGATCTTCTGTCGTAAATAAAGCTCACTTCGGTGTTCAAAACCGATGGTTTGGATTAGTACAACAGTAAAGAAATAAGATTGACCTATACCAACTCGGAGTAATTCAAATTGAACTATCCTGGCAAGCAGCATCCAGTGATCTCCCAATATTACATTATTACTCCACCGGACTTTCAATTGCCGATACTAAGCCCAGCATAAACATAACTTTCTAACTTCCACGCTTTATACCCATTAACAATCTGGTCTCTTCATAGTACTTTCTACCTAACGGTTTTCGTCTCATTCATCACTATGAGATTTGCCACATCAAACTATTCTCGTCTAACTTTTCTCACAAGTCAAGATCCCGCGGCGACTGACCAGGAGTAACAATTACTTATACCCCGCAGAGACGATGAACACACGATGAATACACAAGGAAACGGCAACAACAAGCTATGCCACAGTTTGCACGATAAAAACTTTTCTTGCCAAGATTTCGAATTCAAGCTTGTAGCTTTCGAAAGATCTCTCTTCAAATGAAGTGTAGAGCGAATGAATCTATCTTTATCTTTCTTCAACCCCCTGCGTACCGAATATTCGTACAACGAACAAAGAGCTAATAGAAATAGAAATCTACTTATTCATACACTCTCATACTAACATTTAGATTATTCATATTCCATATAAAACCCTAAACAGCAAATTACTCTCATACCGCTCAAATATTATTTAATTACTCTCATACCCTAAGTGTTAATTTTTAAAGAATGGTTTATTTTTTACTCCTTGAAATCCATCCCCTAGACTATCAGCTTAGGACACCTTAAGTAGTTTATACATACTTACAATCATTAATACTTCAACAAACAACATTATAAATAAAAATATTTATATTAAATTTGAAAACTGAAATTTATTAAAAAGCAATAATAAATATACCAAATGTATTTCTATATTTTTTTACTGAAGAATAATTATTAAATAATTTTAAAATTATTATTATATTTCATTTCTCAAAATAAGATATATTTACAATCGATTTCTAAACAACTCTTAATTCCTGATGTGCTGATTGGTCAATGATCCCTGTTTAAGCGAGGTGTTCTTTATTAATAGTCTAGAAGATAATAGAATCTAACGTAAAACAATTAGATTCTAATGGTTTAGGATAAGTTCTATTATAAAGAAGAGTATAAATTCTATAGGAAAAGAATAAATTCTATAATAGGAGAGTAGATTCTAGTCACTTGAGACTAGATTCTATAAGAAAGGAGTAGATTCTAACCACTTTAAATCAGATTCTTGTTACGGGAGCTGCCTCTAGGGTCACGTGGAAGTGTCTAGAGATCTCTCGAGGTGGTTTAGACTAGACTTCAAGTAGGAATTCAATAAGGTTGTAACTGGTTGCAATTCTCGTAACTATAGTATGAAACTAATGATTGATCTTGAGCACGAAGCTCTACATTGTAATGAAACCCATTCTTTATATAGACCTTCGTTCCTTGTTGTCCCATTGATCCCATCGTGTCCCACCAGGTGGGAGTAGTGGGATCTAGTGGGAATCTCTAATCCCGTGACTTTCTGATCAGGTGACTCGGTATGTTAGATGTCGTCGTAACAATTCTATAGGAGGAAAATAGATTCTATAAATCCATTACTTTTTTTCCTTTCAAGTTTTTCCTTTCATTTAAATTATATATATAAACAGGCTAGAATTTACAAATTCGAGATAGATTTTATAAAGAATCTAAGAGATACGAGAGTAAAACCATCATGAATTTTAGGACACAAGAGTAATTAAATGGGTTTGAGGGGGTATAAGAGTAATTTACCGAACTTGAAATCATAGCATCTCCTTGTAAAACCTCTCGACTCCCCTCGCTCCCAGCCTCTCTTACTCTCCCTCTTCCTTTCCCCCCCCTCCCCTTATAACTCAAGTCTTAAAACATAAAACATAAAACATAAAACACATAAAAATAAAATATATAATTCCCTCTTCCCTTCCTCTTCCTCTTCCTTACTCTTACCCTTTTCCTTTCCCTTTCCCTTCCCTTCCCTTCCCTTCCCTTCCCTTCCCTTCCCTTCCCTTTTCCCTCTTATAACTCAAATATCAAGACATAAAACACACCAAAAAAAAGAATATATACAGTTCCCTTCCCCCTTCCACACCCTCTTTCTCCCTCCTTCTTATCATCCATCCATCCATTCATTAATAATAAGAATCACTTCCCTCAATCACTACCAAACACATAACAGATCTGATTCCAACATCTCCTATTACCTTTAGAAACCCAACATCGATATGTTCATCATGAGTCCGTTGATATATCTACCTGCCGAATCATCACATCAAGTATAATCACAATCACAGGTATCAATTCAAATGTAATTAAAGTCAAAGGCAATAAACTCTTAATTAATCTAAAAGATTATACACAGTCGTCTTTTGCCTTCCTTTGAATCTCAAAGGTTTGTTTCCACACTCCTCCATATCATTCGTTATGAGTGAGGGACGATCAAAATTGTCATATCTTTTCACCCACACTAGCCCTCAATTTCCCAATTCCTCAATCTATAAAACCCATCCATGCATCAAGTTCAATCCCAATCCATTCCATGCAAACCTCCCAAATGGTATAATAAACTTTCTTACCCCCACCCCCTTTCACCAAAGACAAGAAAGTAGAAGACAATCAGATCCATTCCATTCCGTTCAATTCCACCCCTCACCACCTTCGAAAAAAAAAAAGAGTCGAAAAATCGAGTAACAACTCAGGATATCAAGAACCCATCATAAAATCATTTCGTAAAAGGGGAAAAAAAAAAAAATCCATCTTTGTATCCAGAGCCCCAACTGATATTGAACCCCTTGACCCAAGCATGCCCTTTTTTGTTACGAAGTACTCGCCACGTGCAAGTAAACAAGCCAAAATGTCTTTTTGACTAAACTCATCTTTGTAGCAAGAAGTTGAAGTGTGGCCATAGCTAGCCAGGAGATAGTCGAACCTCGACTGCAATAGGATTTTCCCTCCTTCCTAAAGTAACCCAATCTCTCATGAAAAGATGTCAAATTTGCGTGCCATAACCACCCACATTCCACCCAGATGTTCCCCATGTCTTGCATTCATCAAAATCAGAATAGTTTTTATTCATCATTTGTGAACCAGAGAACATGATTGAAATCGAAAACAAACGCAACCCACCCCGTATACCCAGCCATTTTTGTGCAAGTCAACTCTCCAACATTAATGAGAAGTCGACGTAAGATCCAGAATAACAAAAAACATAGTACAAGAAGCTTACTTTTGGAGATTGCTCTTTGAAAGCAAGACCCGAAAAGTAAGAGATAGAAAAAGTCTGTGCATAATTACATTTTGCAATAGCGAGCCCAAACATGACTGCTATGAATTTTTTGTATAGCTCTGAACTTGAGCACAAAGATCTAAAAAGCAAAATGTGTAAAGAAAAAGCGAAGATGCAGTTAGTAAACAATCCCCAGCCTGGAAACCCAAACACCAGACCAGAAACCTTCCAGGTCCCATGCCCAACCCATTTTGAGAAAGAAAAAAAAAAACAAAGAAAACAAGAAAAATGTCTAAATTCGCTTCAAGTAACGCCGTGGATATGGTTGAAAAGAAGTAAAGTCGTAAGATCGAGGCGGCCACCGGAAGGCGCAACGCAACTCGAGATCGTGATAGTCGGACATGAATTCCGTGTAGTTTATTATCGAGTAGCCCTTGAGTTTGATGAAAGGAGACTAGGTAGACCGTTGACGACACCTCTTTTTGTAAACGCAATATGTGCTTTGAAAAGCCAATGAAAGGAAAAAATTGAAATCAAGAACTTTTTGTGACGACGAATGTTTATGTCGCATGTAATCCGGTGTATAGAATTAAACCAATCGATAACCGATTAAGGATTAATTAACCAACAACAGCTTGGTGTCCTCCGTATGCGTGGTGAGGCATGAAGTATTGCTGTTTGCCTTGAGAAGAGTATTCTGAAGGTTGAGGGTTCCAAATGTTCAAGCTGTATTGGTGAAAGTAATGTGAAGGACTGTAATGGTGAGGGCTATAGTGGTGAGGCCATTGATTGTGGAATCGAGTAGACATATCGGGCATGACGTAAGGAGCGTTTGCTGCAGCCATGCACGCTTTCGCATATTGGCTGTACGCAGCAGCATTCCAATCGTATTGAGGAGCGGTACTGGTAGCACTCAAATATTCTGGAGTGGTGACACCAGAATCAGGAGCAGATGGTGGTGTGTGCTGAGGGGTAGGATATGAATGATTGGACCAAGCAGGATGTTCATAGTGAATGTATTGTTGTCGCTCTTGTGTAGCACTCTTGGGATAGCCTCTGTAGTTGGCGTTGGATGGACGACGCGAAACATTGGTATCGATAGGAGCCAAAGGTGTAGGTGGAGCGGAAAGGCGCTCGAGAGTAGCAGCCTTTACCTTCTTTCTGTCCGCAGACCAAAGGC